AGATGTAGTTAGAAAAAAGGCAAGCATTACTTCAAAGCATCTCTGTTGATTTTATACATCTGAAAATACAAGAAGATCTTAAAGTCATCCACCCAGCCTCCCTGGACCCTTTATCCCCGCCCCTCCCTTCTCCCCCCATTCCACCCCTGCGCATGTGTGCTTTGGCCAGCCCCCTCACAGCTGGCTGTAGGTGGGACTAACTTCTTTGAAAAGTGTTTTTGCTCACTCCCAGAATTATTCAAGCATGAGGTAGATCAGTTATTTTCAACTATTCTTTTCAACCAGACTACAGCACGGTTGGCTTGGCATTTTAAATTAATTCAGATTACTATGTGGCCTGTTTGAAATAATTATGACTATTGTTTGCTTGAACATGGCTTGGGTAGTGTACCTATAAATTTCTCTGTAGAGGCATGAACGAATGATATGAGTACAATCAAACTGCTCACAGCGGCCCTGCTCTTCCACCCACCCTTAGGCACACCCATTTTTGAGAAACCAGTGGGGCGAAACCTTTGTTCGAGTATATATCCCTACAGTTAAAAAGGTTCTAGAGACATAGATTTACAAAGGTAGCAATGTAGGTTCACAAAGAGTGTTGGCTCAGAAAGTCCCAGAGGAGGGTCTCTGAGCCTAAGCCAGTGTGAGTGGGCTTCACTTGATTTGGACATACAGGCCCCACTGGGCATTGCACACAAGGCGAGCAGAGATGAGTTTGCTCTATGGACAGACCTCCCATGTGAAATTTGACTTTTCCCCTCTTTGCTGACTTGTCCAGTTTAACAGTGGTCACCCCTGGATCACAGGAAGCACATTTTTGCTACAGAGGCTCTTTAGAGAACTGCATGGCCCTCAAATGAGCAATAATCCAGATTTCTTATATATATTTTTTTCTTTCCATGAGAATAAGAGTGCTTTTCTGCCAAAAGACATATTTTAAGATTTTTGTTGTTGTTGTTGTTCCCAAGGGTGAGAAGCTCTAGGGCCTAGTGATACATATATATATATATATATATATTTAGTATGCATCAAGGAGGGGAATCTAGAGCCTTTGGGGTGGGGGGTGAAGGTAAATCCCAGTAATTAAAAAGATTCTAGTTATACTACCAAGATGTGTATATTTATTGATACACAAATGATATAACAATAACTGTTACTGAATGCTTGGCATGAACATTCTCTGTTCTAAGAACTTTGTAAGTATTGACTTATGTGCTACTTCATAGCAATTCCATGATGTAGGAATTATTGTTATTATCACCATTTTACAGATAAGGAAGTTGAGACATGACATGATGAATAACTTGCACAAGGCCACTCAACTAGCAAGTGACCAAACTGAGCTTGAAATAGGGGGTCTGACTCCAAAGTCTGGGCTCTGACCTAGTGTGTCACAGCTGCTTCTACATGTGCTACGCTACTAATAGATTATATGATTTGGGGAATATATGAAAAATAGAAATTTAAAATAAGAAGACACATATTGGTAATACTGATGTTCTCATACTTTTGTCTTCTGCCCCAAGTAGTCATCTAGAACCATCTCTGAGATGCATGTACCACCTCCTTTGGAGACCTCCTTGGGGAGCTCTTATAGGGAGAATTCAAAACATTACCCTCAATGGCCTTAGCAGCCTTTTCTTTGTTTGGATTCTGTGATGACATTGGGGTCCATAAATGTGGCGTCTCCCCTCCAATTTGGTCTGTCCATCCATTGGTTCAGGCCACTTCCCTCCTTATCTCTCTGCTGCCACTGGTAGGTCTGGGCTTTCCCACTGAGACCCAGCCAGGCTGAACAAAGCCTCCTAGCATTCCTTCTTGTCCCTTTGGCCTCTAGACTAAATTTACCAGTCCTTAGTATTAGGTCATTAAATATGAAATGTCCAATTTAGAATCAAAAGTGTGGTTTATTATATCTCAAACAAGAATTAATCAAAGTATGCACTGAACTATCAACACAGTTTTTGCTATCTCATGGGGATCTGCCATGCCAGCAGCGAAGAAGCCTGGAGAGCGAGTGGCGATGAAATTGCAAAAGGCCTTTTCCACAGCTTGTTGAGAATTGAGTAGTTTTCCTTGCAAGAAGTGCTCCAAAGCCTGGAAGAAGTGATAGTCAGTTGGTGCAAGGTCTGGTGAATATGGTGGATGACAAAGAGTTTTCAAGTCCAGCTGCTGTGATTTCAGCAGCATTGTCTCTGCAATATGTGGTTGAGTGTTGTCTTATAAGAGGATTAGCCTGTCTCTGTTGATCAATTTCAGCTGCTTAATCACAAGCTTATCACTTCTTTATCACTTCTTCTACTTGTTTGCAGTAGACATTCACTGTAATCAACTGACCAGGTTTTATGAAGCTATAGTGGATAATACCAGCACTGGACCACCAAACAGACACCATTAGCTTTTTATGATGAATATTCAGTTTGGGAACGTGTTTCAGCACTTCATCTTTATTCAACCATTGTGCCAAACACTGGCAATTATCAAAAAGAATCCATTTTTCATCACATGTAACAATACGAGTTAGAAATGGTTCTCCTTTTTATCGTGACAGCAAAGAAAGGCAAGCTTCGAGACTATTTCTCTGTTGATACTGGTTTAATTCATGCAAAACCCATCTGTCCAGTTTCTTCACTTTGCTGATTTGTTTCAAGTGGTCCAATATTGTTGGAATAGTAATGTCAAACCTTGCTGCTAATTCACATGTAGGTTGAGATGGATTTGCTTCCACTACAGCTTTCAGCTCATCATCATCCACCTTGGTCTCAGGTTGCCCACATGGCTCATTTTCAAGATTAAAATCACTGAAATGGAACTTCTCAAACTATCCATGTACTATGCATTCATTAGCCACATCCTTCCCAAACACCTCATTGATATTTCGAGCTGCCTGTGCAGCATTGTTTCCAAAATGGAACTCATATTCGAAAATAAAATGAATTTTTGACTTGTCCATGGTCTCAAAAAAATTTCTCTAAAAAAAATTTGAAAAATAATCACAAGCCACAATGTGCGTTTGAAAGACTGGGGATGTACCTTCACAATAAAAATAAAACGGCAAGTGTCAAAGTGAAACATCAGAGATTTCAACTGTCAAACTTATTAGGGAAATTGGACATTTCATACTTAATAACCTAGTACATCAGGAAGCTGCTATAGATAATGTACTAGTGCAATGAAAAAATTAATTCAAGCATCCACATGTCTGCCCCCCTTTCCATCTTCAGTCTGTGATCAAGTGTCATCTTCTTGAGAGAGCTACTCTAGCCACTCTATATTTAAAATTCACACACACACACACTCCTTTCCTGCTTTACTTTTCTCCACTGTGCTTTTGCCAGATGTTATTTTTCTATCCCCCTCCTCCAATTGAAAAGTAAACTTCATAAAGTCCACTGTATTCCCAGTGCCTACAGCAGCAACTGCCTCATAGCAAACACTAAAAAATTTTGGTTGAACAAATGAATAAACTACTTCTCTGGGATTAGCAACATAGGGATTTCAAGCAAATAGAAGAAATAAGGCAAGGGAGCTTTTTATAATCGCATTCAAAAGTACCAATGCCTTAAATACTGCACCTTTTCCACCCAGTGTGCAAGAGGAAGTTGAACAAGTAACCAAGTTATATGTACAATTGACAATAGTAATTATGCAGTCCAAAATAAACCCCCTTTTGCTCAATAAACCACTTGTTTTGCACACAAACGTCGGCACTGATTGCATAGTCCTTAGGTCTTACCGAACAACAAGGAAGCATAGCATAGCTAAGCACCAGAGCATAGCACAATGTGGTTGATTTGGTGTTTTAAACTAATTCAGATTGCTGTTTGAAATAAGTATGACTGCTATTTCTCCAAATGTGGCCAGTGCTGTGGTCAATGACTGTCAAAATTTTTTGTATAGGAAGTGTTCAGAGACGCCAAAAACTTGGAAAGGGAGGGACCGTAGCTAAGGAGTTTCTTTAGAAGTTTACTTTGCATGGGACTTTTTATAAGACTGAGCAACAATCAGTTTTATGCCTCAAAATGTATTAATAGAAGAGATAATAGAGATTATACCACTTTTTAACCACTGAATGTGACTGAAATTCTAAATACTCTGAATACCAATGAAATAGGGCATATAAAAGAATTTTCAGTTTATATCAGTAAATTTTTATATATATTAAATATATATCAGTATATCTTTTCAGATTTGCCACGATTGAAACTGCTTTTAAGCAGAATTATAAAAGACCATGTTTTACTTACACACAAAAAAATACACAACCTGAAAACTTACATCTTTTATTTTCTGAATAAAATTATCTTTAAATGTGTATCTTTCAGATCAGGTGTCAATAGGACATAGATTGTCCCTAAGTAAGATGAGCAGGAGACAATGTAATTTATGGGCTGGACTAACAGAAGGGCGCTGAGTCGGGTTTTGTTAAACTAATATTATGGCTGGCAAGGATGACATGTCAGATGTTCGTTTTAAAGACCAAGCCATTTCAGTAAATCACTTTTATACTTTAAGTACATTATGCAAGTACAATACCAGGAGAAGGTGTGTTTAAATGTGCCAGACACATTCATTTGCTTCACTACATCCTATGTTTCTCATTTCCTTTTTCGAACATGTAGTTCTCAGATTATTTTCGTGAGCTGATCCATATTTTAGTTTTATGCATTGAGTCTTGTTTATTGGTGCTGTCATGTTTATTTTATTCTTCTTGTATATACATATTCAACCCTCATGAATATCATCATAGTCTTTCTCTCTTCCTTCTTGCACAAACAGTAAAAGGAATCTCCTTTTTTAAAAATACCTTTGTCAATATAGTACGATGAGAAAACAATATATGAGATGCATTTGTGGCTGTTTAGCATAAACACTTGGTCTGAAACAGCTATATTGTATTAGATAATGCATTGTGTTTCAGAATATTTAAGGTTGCATTTCTTTACTGTGTGAACGCTATACTATTTTCTTTTCTCCCCTAACTCCCCCCTGTTTAACAGCAGACAAACCCAGGAAGCACTGAATGAATCCGATGATCCTGAAACAGGCTGTCTAACTGATAACAAGCCAACTTCTCGACACTTCTATCCTGTCGCCTTGCTGCTTGTCAGCTCGCACCTGCTAGTTGTGTGGCTTATTTTAAGTCTTGCATTACTATTAGCCAAATACCAATAAGTCTTATGTTGTATTCCTTTCTTTTCTACAAATGACAATGGACTTTAAATCATGGGGACAATGCTGTAATATTTCTACATTTTCAGATTCACAGAATTTAACAAAAATGTTTGAATTGTAAGTGTTTTTGTTTTTCCTAAAATCTAAAAAAACAAAAAGTACTATGCATTCTGTGAATTATTTTGCTTTTTTGTTCATGGAAAAGTGTTTCCCACTGTTATCTAGCTCAAGAAGAATTTTTAAATTACTGTCTTTAGAATAAGACAAAGAACAGAATCCTGAAAGCTTGAAGTTCTGAACCTCCTGTTCCTCTTCCCATTCAATTTATTAAAGAAATTAAGACTGAATTTGCATAACACACTGAAACCCTGAGACAAGTTCTAGAGATGAGGGAGGTTGCAGACTTGATTTCCACTGTGCTAATATCATAGTTGTCATCAGCAGATAGGAATTTTTGTTGTTTTTTTTTAACCTGTTATTTTATTTCTTTGCCGCAATTAACCCTTTTCTGTCAAGTAACTTTATGGAGAGAATGGCTATTTATGTTTTGTAATTAAATTTACCTGTTTTGTAACTATTGTTTGGGTTGATTTGGCTTTCAGAGTACTTTTCTATTCTTTTTAACAAGGTCTTGTTTGTGTCTTGATGCACCATTTCCAGCACTTGTGACTTTTGTACCGTCTGTGGACAAGCACTCTTCCTTTATAAAGCTGAGACTTGGACCAGGCTGTTCGGGAAGCCATTTTCTCTCTTTGTTGCACAGCTAAAATAATGAAGTAAAAATAGAGATAAAACTTTTCTTTAAAAATCTGTAGGGCCAGACTTAATAAATTAAATGCCTTATTCCTAGAACCTGCATCCTTAGGGCTACATATAGATTTTAATGTGTTTTAAAGAGACTGAAAAATTAATTTGTGGAAGAGTTATAAAAAAGGCAGATATATTTATGAAATGAAAGTGAAGCTGTATTGTGGAGCAAATTATATTTAAAGAGTTTATTAAACCTTAAATGTCTGTTAAGAGTAAAGAGACTTTAATCATCTCTTTCCGAGGGCAATAATGGTATTGGGCCTGGCCTAGGATTTAATTTTGTAAGATGTATCATCACTTGTGGAAAAAAAAAATGTAGAGTTGAATCTTTGTTATTTTTACTTGGACTGTTGCTGCAACTCTGCATTGAACAAATAAAGCATATTTATTTATTCTGTGTTTCATGAAGTTGTACTTTTTCCCCTTTCACCAGAGAAGGATGCCGCATAGAAAATGTACTGAAGAATATCAAATGCAGAAAGTACGCTTTCAACATGCTACAGCTGATGGCTTTCCCCAAGTACTACAGACCTCCAGAGGGGACTTATGGAAAAGCTGACACCTAAGTTTACCAACCTGTAAATAAACAGGAACACAAATACATATCAGTTGGATAATCTCCATCTTGGTCTTTTTAATTTTTTTTATTGTCATGAATTTGTGGGGAGATATGATTACAGATGTTTGCCCATATCTAGGGCCTACTTGAATTAGTTATCAGTGTATTAAGAGAAATCCATTTTTTAAAATCTTACATAATACAGTATTGCTGTTTCTAGTCATAAGCTTCTTCTATGTTTGACCCTAACTGATTGAGTTCGGTTCAGAAAGTCTAAATTTCATTCATGGAGTATTTCAATGAAAGATGGTCTGAGAAAACATAGATTGGTTCAGTAGGAGCAGAGGTGATTCAGAGAGGGCCACTTTCCATCCAAAATGAGGAGAGGGGGAGAAGGGAGAGAGACTTTCTATGATACTACTTCATAGCCTGTGAGAACACAGATGACCTGAGAACCCATTTATGGGATTTAAAAAATATTTTTCTAGTGAGTCAAAATCGGGTAGCATTAAATCATGATCTTGACTGCTGAAACAGTTTGCAAGTGTGTGGGTAAAGACCTTTCTTATCTAGTGAAGATGTGACTTCTTCTAATAAGCAGGTATATGAACAATTAGCAAAGCAGTCAACAGACCTTTCAAAACTATGGCATCTTTTCAAAACTGACTTGGGGTTTGTAACCTAGCTACAGAGTGCCAATATAGAAAGTTTAATAGGATAATAGGCAAAACACTGCAGAGAACTAAAATTGCAAGGAAATTAAAGATGAGAAGCTTGTTGATATGCAAAATCAAAATCTGCATCGGCCAGAACTCCATGTTATGAAGGTCATGAATATCAGTCAGTGAAACATCTTTGGGATGTTTTCTAGCAGTCACTTTGGTGTAATTATGCAGTATGGCATAGGTTAGTATATGTAAATAAACCTTTAAAACATATGCAACCATAGTAGTGATAAACTAAAACAATTATTTTCTGTTACTCTGAATTTCAAATTTGTCCTTAGTAAAAATAACAACATCCATAAGTGTTCCAAAATTTCCATGTAAAAGTTTCCTTAGAGATCATCTTGTATAATGTCCCACTATTCAAAAATGGGTAAGCTAAGGCCAATTACCCTCAATCATCCAACTAGATAATTGTAGGATTATGATTATAATTTATTTTACCTTCTTACTCTCCTTACTTTCTTAGCCTGTGGCTTGTCCCTTCTTCAAATTGCTATGCTAAATATGCATGAAAATTAAGGGAGAATGCTAGTTAGTTAAAAATAAATAGGATTTATTACTAGAATTGAAGCTTATAGTGCAAAAGTCTGCACAAATGAAACCCATTTTCTCCAAATTTTAAGAATTTACTCTTTTTCTTTTTCAGCAGAGGAACATGCCATTCGAAACATAAATCTCCCTTGAAAATGCCAGACGCTTACTACATACACCTCTTAGCTATGACCACATTTAATAGATGATCATTATGAGCCTTTCCAAAGCTGATGCGATAGCTCCTTGCCTAAGATTCCCGTTGAAAGGATTCCAAACAGATTTCTAGCCCCATGTTGAGTTTTTAAAATTACTACAAATTTTAGATGCCCTTTGGGGATTTTCACACTAGAATTATCAATTGATTGCTTTAGCTAATAACCTGTAGCATTAGAATTGAGGCATTAACCAAAATATTTACAGCCTTGGTAATGAAAGTATGCTGAGTGCTATGAATCTATACGTGAACAAAATTATCTTGATATTCCCTGTTTTACCTCATTCTTCATTTCAGTGATTAAATATCTGAATGGTCCAATTTCATTTGAAAATGGTAGGATTTGTGGTTATTGTCGTTATTCCATAGGGTTTGAGATAGACTAGGATGACAGTGGTCTTGAATAGCTATGAAACCTCATTCAGCATATCAAATGGTAGTCTGAGTCTTAAAATAATCTAGTCTTTAAATAATTTAGCATTCTGTAAATATTCTTATAAACAATAATTCTTGTTTATATTTTAAAAAATCAAACCTCTTGACTCAAATATGGAAAATTTTTTAACTAGTGAGCCAAGAGCAGGGTTTTCTAGGTTTTCTATTCTTAGAACACATTTCAAAGATTGTTCAAAATAAATGCTAATATAGAAGTCTCAAAGGGTAGAACTTACTGTTATACAGATGCATATGAGTTTTTATTTATTAGCATAGTCATCTGCATTTCTTTATAGGAAGCCTATATGTGTGCAAACTTCTAAAAGTAGATTTCATCAAGAAATGTACATTTCATATTGACAACGATATTGCTTTTTTCCTGAGAGATAATCCAAATATCCTTGAACAACCACTTCACTATTTCTTAAGTTATTAGGGCTTTCTAAATCAAAGAGCAAATGTTAAACAAAAGAGTTTTTAAATCTCCCTTGCACAAACACAGCTGCAGTCATGCTATCCTATCTATATTTTCATTTAAAAGATACACCAGGAAACCTATTTTAGGAGATCACGTTGAACCAAAAAATGAACCAAGAAAATGACATTTTCAAATAACATTTTTTTTTGGCTCGAAAAGAAGTTTCCTTTCTGATGTCATCAAATGCAGATATCAATTCTGGATTAGCTATTTACTGAGCCCTTCAAAAAACATAACAACAAGGAAAGGTGAAACTCTGTTTATGGTTGAACAGTGGCAAAAGATCCACAGTCTGAAAAATATTCCACAAAACAGCAAAACACTCTTGAACTTTGAAAGTTTAAAATATCTGATTGAAGCAGATTCACCATTAGATGTATTCATTCATTAATACTTCTTACATGGTTGGGTTTTTTCTTGTAAATATTGCCTTGAATTTTATCTACACTCTGCTAAAACACCTCTTTTGATCAGTTCAATAACTCGATGAGTCAGAGAAGCCATTCGATCCAGATGATAAATTGTACTACAATGACAAACGGCCCAGTTAGGGCAGTACTCCATGTAACTAACCTTAAACCCTGACTTTAGAAGACTAACACCTAATCTGAAAAACTGTGAAGCCTTAAAAGCTAGCATTTGGATAGAAGAGAACTTCATTTTTTCCTTCAACTATGTATGTTATTTTACGTAAAATAAGAGTCAGAGTGAAAAAGGAAAACACTGTGATTTATATAGTTTCTTCCCAAGCAAATCAAACCTCACCTAGGTAAAGGTTGATGGTATTCCAGTTCTAGCATACCAGTGGTGTGTTAGTACTGGCTCGTACTGACACATGAAATTGATCATTAAATTATCAGAAATTTGTAAACGGGTTGTTAAACACAGCCATTATTAAATATTAAAATATAAAATACAATTGAATGTATTTTATTAAAAACAAAAGTAATAATCAAAACTTACCACTTCCTAATTATTTTACTACATTTTATTATTTACCTGTGCTCTTGAGGTTATTTAAGTCTATTGCATCTTTACAGTGAAAGTACTGTAGAATAGTTTTCTACGGTGCATCTCTTCCTGACTCTAGATTCAGTAACATCATCTTGGTAGCTTGAGACTGTCCATAGTAGTAGTATTTGCACCATAGGAACTGGCAAATGCCACAAGCTAGAGTTTTTAATTCCTAGAAAGGCAGTTATTAAACATTTACCAGCACACAACTAAGTGCTACCATCCCTTTTTCTCCAGAAAATAACAAATTATTGGAAGCAGTATAAAATTATTAAAATGATATTAAATACAATCACTCCTCTTCAGATGGCTATGATTTTGTTTTGCATTTTAGCCTCTTTAAAGACTCCTATGCACCGGGTGCAGTGGCTCATGCCTGTAATCCTAGCACTCTGGGAGGCCGAGGCAGGAGGGTCGTTTCAGCTCAGGAGTTTGATACCAGCCTGAGCAAGAGCAAGACCCTGTCTCTACTAAAAATAGAAAGAAATTAATTGGCCAACTAAAAATATGTAGAAAAAACTAGCCGGGCATGGTGGTGCATGCCTGTAGTCCCAGCTACTCGGGAGGCTGAGGCAGGAGGATGGAGGATCGCTTGAGCCCAGGAATTTGAGGTTGCTGTGAGCTAGGCTGATGCTGCAGCACTCTAGCCCAGGCAACAGAGTGAGACTCTGTCTCAAAAAAAAAAAAAAAAAAAGACTCCAATGAGGCTAAAAATTGTATTTGGGCTTATATTTTATTCACACTTAAATGATTAAATCATAGAGATGAGTTTCAAAACTTACCTCTTGATAATGCTCTGCAAGGGAAATCTTAGAAATGCAGCTTTAGTGTAAAGATTATCTCAGGGCTAAATTCAGGGAACTGTTAACCTAAGCAGAGTATCATTGAAAATGTGCTTCAGTATCAATTTTTTAGTGTATAATTTTGTCATTTGCTAAAAGTAGGAAAAATAGTAACATACCAGTGTGCCCAGATTCTAATAAATATAGCTCAATTGAAACCTAAACTGTTAGATTAAACAAATTAAACTCTGGCACGATGTTAAATCACCACAGATGTTTTAGGTGTTTGATTTTCAAGTAGGGATGGTGTATCATTTGTTTCAATACACAGAGCATCTTTTGTAGTCTTTTAGGAAATAAATTAACTTTTATCACAGTTTTAAAAAACTGATCTTAGAAAAACTGTGATCAGCAGTTACAGCGAGCAGCAAACATATTGAACACAAAGCATCTCTAATAGCCAGAGGCTTTACAAATTATATGCTATTGAAAAGAATGATTTGCTGAGAGTTGTGTAGTTGATTGACAATTTTAGTGTGAATTCACATTCATTTAGCCCAGCTGCAATCTGCATAAGCTATGTTTTTCCCCCCATGTTTATGTTTTTAGCTTTATAAAGAAAATCCCAATATATTATATATTTTGTTT